ACTATCCTGTGCAGGCCTCTGGCCACTATACATGATACATTGGGTGTCTGTCTGCTAGTGTAACGACTGATTCTTATGGCGCCAATGAGAGCGACGCTGTGAACTGTAAGAATGAACATCGCAGTGACTGAGGCGGTCCCTTCTGAAACTCCGAATGAAATTGTAAGAAGTCCACTGTCGGATTCACCTTGGAAATCTGCATATACCACCTTAGCTTCAACAAGTTTAGTTCGTGTGGAGCTTGCACATCATTTTCTAATGTGAAGCACCGCCAGTGATGATCGTATAGCTTTTACTGGTTAATATGTTTCTCCATTCCGACCCCTCGAAAAACTAATCAGTCACGTTAATCAGAGATACATGACACCCTATCTCAATGACGTGTTACCGCAATTTTTTCCNATTTGGTCACCGATACATGACACCGCATCTCAGGGGTGTTTCTCTGGAATATTTCGAAAGTCTCTCTTCTCAACTTACAGGATTTTTAAAAATGGAAAACTTGATTTTTCACCGGTTCTCTAGCATCTTTGCTATAAAAGGGGAAGAAAAATCTTTGGAAAAAATTGCGGTAAAACGTCATTGAGATAGGGTGTCATGTATCTCTGATTAACGTGACTGATTAGTTTTTCGAGGGGCTCCAATGAGTGCCGATGAAAACCGGATTTCTTGAAATCAACAAAAAAGTCCTGCTCTATTGGGCTCTAGCCACATGCGTCGGCTTCAAGTTAAGCCTTTCCCGAGCTCTCTACGATGTTTTATTACCAGAAATCTTGGAGGTACTAAATGGCATTAAGGTGAAAGTCGCTTTCGGGATATGGTGGCCCCTCTATCTCATGCATGTTTTAGGGCATCCAGCAGAACTCTCGTAACTCTTGATCAAGATTAAGATTCTTATAGTAGTTTTATTAGAGTCGATGTGTTCGACCGCTTTTTGGTTCCACTCTCGAAGTATGAAGGAAAGGGAACATCCGAATTCACTTTTTTTCACACGCTCATGTTGTATGTCAAGGGACCGTCTTTTCTGTTGAAAGCATAAATTCGAAAAGAACAAATTTTTTGTTTCATTAAATTGCTTAATGATTACATAGACGAAGACGATAGTGCTCGTTATCGTATGAGTTGATTTCACTGTGCATTATCCTGGTAGTCTAAAGATATGTTCAATATATATTGCAGTACGAAGAATACTGTCATACGTTTATCTATACTCATAGATTGATCCTTGTGCAGATAGATATTAGTTTTTTGGTGCAATTGTAATAGAGCAAAACTGTATAGCAAGGCGTGTAGTTTTTGATGATTTTTTAGATGTGAAAGAAAATATTTTTTTTCCAAATATAGCGTACATTTACATTTTCCGTGCACACTGCTGTATTTCCGGACGGTTTAATTCAACCCATGCATAAATAGAATTACCTTAGGATAGTTCATTCGTATTTTCTATCACGAGACAATTCATATGAGTATTCAAAACAGTTGTGCTAAAACGGCAGACTATATTTTTTCTATCAAACATTATTCAAAAAGCATCAACAGCTTCTTTATTTTGAAATGTACGATAGTTCATAAATGCTAAATAATTATGAATTAAATTACAAAAACGTTAGAAGATATGTTTACATGATTCAACCAAGCCGAATACAACCAACAGCACGCTATTCTGTGCAAGAATGTACAGAAATACCTTCGTTCGGTCACTACATGTCGTCACTTTTATGCACGCATATTTTTTTAGGAAACGTCGATGGGAAATTCGATGCAAATGATTTGAGTATTTATTTCGAAAAATTGGGTATAAAACTCGGTTCAGATGACGCCTCAAAATTAATACAAAAGTGCGTTTTATAGCAATTAGTGTGCGTTTCTCCAAATAGAGACTGATTTTTATTTAGAATGGATCAAGACGGGTCATTAGAAATAACTTATGACGAATGGAGAAATTTCTTTTTATTGAATCCAGCAATAGGAGAGCAAAACCCTAGTGAAATGTTACAATACTGGCGTGCAGCATCGGTAAATCAAACTATGGGAAATACCCATGTAGTTCAGTATATCACGTTTCTCTGGTTTTTTCTTTTTCTAGCATTTTGATTTCGGCGAAGCAAGTTTTACGGTTCCTGATGTAGTGATTAAAGGTATTATTAATATGAAATTAGTAATACATGTAACAGGTAGTTGACTGACTGGTTTCTTTTCAGGGGGCAAGTGGTGGACGAACCTTGTAGCTGGTGGATGTGCCGGG